GAGTAACATAGGTTATATTTTTTTTTGATTTTTAAATTCCACGCAGACAATACCTAGTATTACATAAAGACACTCCAATTGTAACTGTAAAGATTTCACTTACCTTCGTATATCATGAGCGCGGCCAGTCCGCAGGTGACGCCGGTCCACGCCTCCTCGCTCTGCAGCGCCGTCGTGTCCACGTGCCCGCCCGCCGCACCCCCTGCACCCACCGCGCCCGTCGCACCCCCCGCACCCACCACGTACCCGTTGACGGCGCCCAGCTTGCCCCCCGCGAATCGTAACACGTTGTTGTCGTATATCATCTGCAGCGCTCTCTTCACGTTCCCGTCGGGGAACACTTGCTCCGTACAGCCGGACGCGCGGAGATACCTACACAAGTTATTATATCTATTCATTTTACAATTAATTGAATTCCACGCGGACAGAGTCGCGGGAAAAACTTGCCTAATATTACACTTAAGTTCAACAATCATTTTATTTTTTTTATAATATGTCAATTGGACATTGTTCACAAGTCTATTTATGTATACTAATATAATAAAGCGTAAACACACACTACTCAGTTACATAGGATGTCAGCATTTACAGTATATTTTTGACTAACACTTTTTTCAATAAAAAGCCCTATACTTACGACACGCTTTAGGCGTAATTTCACGCTATTAAACTTAGCGAGTAAATAATTTGGGAAAAGTCGTCATGCGAGAAAAGGACAAAAATTACAAGGCACCGTCAAGGAAGCGAGGTTGTCATGGTAACGGTAATTGTTATCCACTGTCAAAGGCATTCGTTGTCATTTGTGCATTTGAATTGTGAAACCATTTGCAATTTAAAAATTTCACAATAAAATAAGGTTTTTTAAAAAAAATGATACGGATGAAGCCGCACGACAACAGCTAGTAAAAATAATAGTAATATATTACCAATGCCCCGCCAGTTGATCTGCCATCACCACATTGCGGTTGCAAGCGCGGGTGTCGAAACGGTAATATGAGCCCGACCACAACTTG